GCTCGAATTTATAAACATTATAAACAAATATCGTCTCACACTGCACTATTGCACGTGCGGCATTATTGAATTTCGTAGAAAGATGATAAGGCGAGCGCCGATGTCCGGCTGCTAGAATTTATTATAAACAAGATAGAACCATCGCGGTACCATAACGCGATAGATGAAAAATATATAATGAAGAACGAAGGGTGTCAAAAACTCAGTATGCGATTTGAAAGCTTGCGGTCTGTATATCGGTTGAAAGAGGTACAGCGGGTACTTGTATTTTTTTTTGTGTGTCAAGTGTTCGGTAGAGGAAGATTTTGTGATAATCTGCACAAAGTGTAAATAATAATAAAAAAAACATGGAAAACACCGAGCAAACCGAACGCGACCTGTTGGAGCTATCGCACCGAGTCGCTACCTTGGGCGAGTATTTCGCGTGGGCGCAGCGATGCGAAGAATTTATCAAACAGCTCGAGGAACGCAGTAGTGTCAAGCGTCCGCGGCTCTCGATCGGAGTTCGACAATCTTTGGTGGCTAGAATCGCGCGACTCGAGGGTGCGAAGATTCGATTAGAGAGACGGTTTATACATAGCGGTGGTGATTACAGTGGTAACAATAACGCGGAAAGACTCGTTTGGCGAGAGATCGATACCGCGTTCGAAAACCGTATACTGACCGGTGCGGTGATTAACGCAAACTATATCGAACCGCGACAATTTCTCGAGGATGCGAAAGACATTGTGCTCGAACACGTGCAAAAAGTTATGGAAAGATACTTTAACGTGAAAGTGAATACTGTGTTCAACGGTGAATTCGTGTCGGGTGATAAGAGCGCCAATAAGAGTATCAATACCAGAAACTATGAACTCTTTCGCACGTCCGATCTACACAAGTGGTACGAGCGACGCGTCGTCGAGCCCACGCTTGCCTCGTTAGAAGAATTTCAAGAACACGACAGCGGGTGGGCTTTGTCGCGAATCCTCGATTTAACTGTAAATATAAATAAATATAATCCAATGCGCGCGGGGTGCCATATTAAATTACCGCGAGAAATAATAATGAAGAGAGCGGTGATAAACGTGCAATCCAAAGACAATGCGTGTTTCGCGTAGGCGGTGGTCGCTGCTGTGTATCCAGCCGAAAGAAACGCGGATCGGGAATCTTCGTACCCGCATTACACAACAGTGCTGAATCTCCAGGACATTGAGTTGCCGGTGACTGT